TCATTTATGTTTTTAGCTTAATTGTTTATGCATTTATTTATTCATTTATTGTTTAATTATTTGCGCATTTATTTATTCATTTATTAATTAACTGTTCATTCATTCATTCATTTATTTGCATTTTTGCTTAATTGTTTATTTGCTATGCATTCATTTAAATTCAAAAAAAATAAAATAAAATAAAATAGAATAAAATTAATTATCAAATAAATGGAATGAATAGAAAAAATATTTTTGTTATTGAAAGATGTAAGTAGCTATTTTACACTTTTTTTTTCCTTGCTTTAACTTATTTACAACAATTCAATTTTTTTTTTCTAGTCTATCATTATTTTTTCATTTTCATTCTATTTCTATCGTTACTATTAATACGTCTTTACTTAATTGTTTATTTCATTTCTTGTTGTATTTTCATTTAACTAATTATTTCTTTGTTTCTCTTTTATTTGGTTATTCATTCTTCATGTTCACTATTATTTGTTGTGCTTTTGCTTGTTTATCATTCTGTTATATTTTAATTTTACTATCATTAAATTTGCTTATTTCTTATGCTTTTTCTTTTTTAGTTAACATTCAATGTATTGTACTTCCTGACATACAATATTCCCGATTAGTTGATTATGTCACTTTTTAATTGTCACAATACATGTCATCAAACGTAAACAGAGAATAATTATTATAGAAATATTGACGACCAGTTTTTTTTTTTTGCTTTTAAATTAAATTTTTTCGTTTTTTTTTCTGCTTTCTATCGATAAATTAATCGAATAATGTCATAATGTCAATAATGCTTAAGATTTTAGTGGAAATATAAAATACTTATTCGTACACTTTTATTAGTTACTATCCTATGTTACACTTCATTAAACATTTTAGTTACAATAATTGAATGATTAATTAACACATGGATGAATCATTAAACAATAAGTAAAAATCTTAACTAACCAAAAAAAAAAGTTGACCAGGTAAAGTAATTGATTTGATTAAATATACGTACCCAGTCGATTATTTGTTTATTCATATTGAAATTTTCAGCATTTAACATAATCTATATCGCAGGCATTCTTTTAATTTGTTAACTTTATGAATACTTTTGAAAATAAACAATTGAAGTAATATTAAAATTAAATGATTAAAATAATATTAAGATGTTAAAATTTTTTTAAAAAAGAAAAAAGATGTCAAAAATATTTTTTTAAAAAAGAAATATCAATACCATTGTCTAAAAGTATCATTGACGTACATTTGATTATCAACCTGAAATTATTATCCACATTTTCATAACAGAAGTGAATACTTTAGCAGCTATTCTAATTACAATCATTTTTATTCTTTTGAAGATTATTTTTGTTTTTCAAAAGAAAAAAATTTAATATTTACTTTAATCACTCAAATTTCGATAATTTTAAATAATTATCAGCGGGAACTTTTGCATAAATTTTAATTATCAAAAAAAAGAGAAAAAAAAATCTTTTCATTGATTATTTTCGAATTTTTTACAAGAATTATTTTTGATGAACAAATGCTACATGTTTGTTTGGCTAATTAATAAGGAAATAAGCTTTCAGCTTATAGTACTTCAATCTTGTTTTATTAGAAAATAAGCTTTCAGCTTATAGTATTTCAATCTTGTTTTATTTTGTAATTAAATTAAAAATCTTTCATTGATAAAAATTTCATTTATAGATTATTGCTAAAAGAAAAAAAAACCGGATACTTTATACATGCTTCACGTATTATTTATATGGAATTAGATGGATAATTTTACTTTGAAATATTGCAAACATTCAATTTACCATTTAAGTTAATTTGATTCAATTTAATATATGAAAAAAAAGAAACTTTCATGATATCCTATAAATACACTGTTGACACAATTTAGTTAATATCACTTATCCAATGATATATGTGTTAAAAAATACAGTATTCAAGATACAGTAAGATGCAGATACAGTAGGGTACAGCATTTTAATCATTTTTTTCCGCACAAAAGAAGAAACTGAAAAATTGTTATATTTTTAATTTTCGGAATCAAAGGAGTATAAAATTTTTTTGTAGTCCTGGGATAATTTGTCATCCGTTAGAAACATTTACGGAAAGAACCATTTGCCGAAGCAGAAATAATTTTAAAAAATGGGAAAAATTTTAATCTTTTTTCTAGAGAAACAACAGAAACTCAGAAACTGGAATAAATTTTCATCTTATATTCGGCAAACTGGAATGAATTTTCATGCTTATATAGAATCAGTAAAGACTGTAGATACCTCCTCGTCTCCCGATAAACTCGGGAATTATAGGTATTTGAAAAAACTTCCTTTAAATTCCTCATTTGAAAATGCATTTGCAAATATTTCTTATTGAATATTCGAACTTATTAAAAAGGTTACTGGAAAATAATAAGTGGTATTCAAACGATTTTTTCTCTTTTTTTTCACTTTACCAATTCCATTCGCTTTAATTAATAATGTTATCAAAAAAAAAATAAATGAGAAATTAGAAAATATTTTTAATTAATTAAAATTTGTATTGAAATTTAATAATGAAAATAATGACAAAAGAGTATTCAGAGAAAAAAATCTGAAAAAACTGAAAAGTATTTCTAATTAATTAAAATTCGTATTAAAACTTAATAATGGAAGTAATGGTGGAAGAGTGTTTATGTGTATGTGAGGGAAGGGAGAGAGAGAGAGAGAGGGAGAGACAAGGAAAGGAAGACGAAAAACATGACAAATGCATTTCCCTCATTATAAATCATTGAAATTACTATTTATTTATGAAATGAATAACAGCTATAATTAATGAAGTAAGGGAGAGGGAAAGAAAGAGAGAGAGAGAGAGAGAGAATGAAAATAAAAGAGAAATTAATCATTATTATTTATTATTGTTATTATTGATATTTCATTGAAAAATTTTGCCAATAACATTTTCGCCTTTTCGTTCCTTCCAAATCGATCCGATCGAGTTCGTTGACTTTTGTTCATTACTCATTCGTCGTGTTGTTGTCAATCGTTATTTGATGAATATATTTCAAATGTCCATCTTTTCCAGTCCCCTTCCATCCTCTTCATCCAACCTTCTCTCTACGACACTCTGTAGATCTCCAATGTCATCTTCTTGTCATCTTTCCATTCCCCGCCCATACATTCATCCTTTCCACTTTTCTCATATTGATAGCAAGCAATTCTCCATCTTCTTTCACTTTCACACAATCTGTCTATCATTTACATTAATATTATATGCTATCATTTGTAATTAATGTAACTCTCTAGATCTCCAATGTCATCTTTCCATTCTTTCCTTTTCCAAAAAAAGACTTCACTGATATTTCATTTTTTATATTTTCATTTCAAAATATTTAAATTAAAAATCTTTTTCTTTTTATATGCAATGAAAAAAAAAGAATTTTGTTATCAGTAATATCAGTAAGTGTTAATTGTCAAAATTAATTATTTATATTTAGGTTATTACTTTTTCTTTTTTTTTTTTTTTTTGTTTAATAAATTTGTTATATTTTTTTTCTCTTCATTTTAATTATTATTTGATAAAAGTTTGTATAAATTAACAAAAGTTATTGTAATTTGCAAAACATCAATTTAATTAACAATTATAGAATTTTAATTATGACATATTTAATTGCTCACATATACATATACATATATAAATTATTTAAGTATACGAAATTATTTATTTTTATTGTTGTCATTTTTGTTAATTTTGATTAAAAAATTTTGTAAATTATTTCGCTTAAAAATTTCTCGTAAATTTTTCGCTTTTTTTTGCATTTTTCTTTGCTTTTTTTTGCCTTCAAAAATTTTTGTTGAAAATTTATTAAATTTTAAAATACAAAATGTTTTGTAATAAGTCATTGTCAAGATTAAATGTTAAGGTTAACAAAAATCCTTAATGATTGATATTAATAACTATGTTAATTTATGACACTTTTCTCAATAAATAATGAGTGATAATATATGGATTTCCGGAAATTTTTGTTGTTTCAAACCGGTATTAGCTTTAATGCACATATATAGCTGATGTATTGTTAATAAATTATTCGGAATAATTCCATTCAATTTAATATATTTGATTATAACTCTCTTCAAGAAAAGCTTGTTTCATTAATTTTTCTGTTTCATTATTTCATTAAATTTTTATTCTTTTTTTCTTCATTTTCATCATTTCAACATTTTTTCTTTTTCATTTACTAATGATTAAATTTATTGAATGAATTATTACTCCGTTGGAAAATGGAAAACGTCAAACCGGTTCTATTATCCATTTAATACTTTCATTAAAACCGATTATAATTTTTTTTTAAACCATTCATTCATACTTTTATTATTATTGAATACATTAAATCATTTTAGTTTATTATCTATTTCTTGGAATACTATTTCCTGTATTAATGATCCAAAAAAAAAATCAGAAAGCTTTTCATTTTTCCTTACTTTTTTACGTTTTTCAATAAATGAATTGGTTTAAATATATATAAATGTCAAATAGGAAAAAATGAATTTCATAATCGATTCATAAAGAGAAAAAATTCAAACGGCAAATTGACAATAAAATGCCTAAACTTAGTAGATCCAGGTGCAGGTTAATTGAGGCCTGATCATATGTTAATTAATTAAATTAGGTATAATTGTTTTTCCATTATTTTTATCAGGAACAAAAATCTTCATCTAATTATGCAATCTATGATAATTGTTTTACTTTTGGTTTCACTAGAATTTGATTTTATTTAATTACTAAAATTTAATTCAATAATTAACAACGGATTAAATATTGATGATAATTACCGCAATCGTAATTCTAATTATAATTTTAATTACAATTACGATAATGATCATTCAATAAGTTCACATTTATAGATAAATAAATAATTGATCATATCGGTAATGAATGAATTGTTCTTTCGCTATTCATTAAATTGCAGACTTTTTAGCAATTTTTGAAAATTTGTTTACAATTTTTAATTTTAATACCGTAATTATTTTCGTATATTTCAGAATTTTCAAGATCTGAAAATCTTAAAAATGATAATGACAGCCTAAAAAGCAACGACAATTGTCCACCATTGATCATTCTTGTGAAATTGTTTGGAATGTTAAAAGTTATTTCCGGCAATTACATTTATTGACGAAATAATTTGAAAATTTTTGCTGTAAGATTTATGCGTTAAATACTATGCGCTAATTTACAATTTCAGGTTTTTTTTTTTTTTAAGTGCAAAATGAGCTCAATTTGACCTCATTTACTGACCTCATTTAACTTATGCATCAGTTTTTTTTGTGTGTTTTCGAACTATAATTGCTATTATCATAATGCGAAATTATAAGACGATTAAACTGAAATCAATTTGATAAAATCAAAACTAAAATTGATTTCAATTTAAATTTATTTCATCCAAATATTATTAATTTTCAGTAATAATACGCTAATGATAAGCTGTTATTATCTCAAAGATTATCACTAATTTTTTGCGAAAGTTTTCTTTTTCTTTTTTTTAATTTTGGAATGAAATACTGATTTGCTGATTTATGAAATGATATTATCTTGATGTGTTGCAAATATTTTCACTACGTTCCATGGGCTTCACTATTTGCTCTTATCATTTCCATTCTTGGCTCTGTCATGTTTATCATTCTTTTCGATGGTGCATTACAAGGATTTGCTGAACAGGTTCTCATTTGTTTTAAAAGTTTTTAATTATTTTAATCGAATTCTTCTTCTGTTAATTTTTAATTTGCTAATGTTTTAATACTTTTTCAAAACTTTTTTCCCTTGAAGTTTTGTTTGATGATGCAATTTTACTTTTTGTTTACTTTTAATCTTTCAAAATTACCTTTGATTTTTTCGAATTTGCCATTTCCCTAATTAGTTTGATTGGCTAAAAATTTTAATTTAATTATTATTTCATTTTCTAAAATTGTATCATCATATTTTTTTTCAATTATTCTTGATGAAATAACTGAGAATAACAAATATTTATTAATATTTGCTATAACCGATACTTACCATTGGGTAAACATAAACGATCTCTATTATGCAAATGTCTAATGATAAGAATATTATTTTAATGAAAACCTGAAATAAGACCTATTTGTAGCCTGAAATATACAAAGAAATTAGAATTTGAAAGAAATAACCTGAAGTATAACCTGTTTCTGATCTATTTCTACTCGATGATATTGTAAATAAGATAGAATTTAAATTATATAACATAGGAACCATTTCTGATTCTAAATTATGTAAATGAATTATGATTTCAATTATGTAGTCCAAAAGAAAACTTGTTTTTCAATATGCAGTCAAATTAGAATTTAAACTGCATAATTTAAGGTAAGACTAATTTCCAATACAAAACATTTACACACGCATACAAATTTAAATTCTAACTTGATTACGCATTTACTTAAATTATATAATAGAATTTGAATCATATAATTTAAATGAGGCTAATTTCCAATATAAAATATTTAGGCACATTTATATATGTTGGAATTATTTTTAGCTTAATGTATTAGTACCAGTGGGTACATTTTCGAAATTTCGATGGCTTCTTATCATCATTACATTACTTCTTATCATTGCCGTTATTGGATTTCTATTTGTTGGAGCAGCTGCTACATCTGGTAATTAATTTAATTAATAAGTTTTAAAATATGGCAAAAATTTAGCTGATAAATGCAGGAGTAACAAGAGCTACAAGAAAGTTTTTAATCCAAAAATTTAAAAATTTCGAAATAAAAATAAATCTTTCAATTATTATGTAATTAATTTTATGCATAATTTGGTTGATGAAAACGAAAATTACATTCGATTATTTCATCTTTTCTTTTCCTCTTTGATTATAAAGAAAAGAAATTTATTTATAAAAATTAATATTTTGAAAATTCAAATTAATAAAATTTTTAACAGAACTTTTTTTCACTTTCTTTAATTAATGGAAAAAAAATGTTCTTGAAATATTTGAAAAAATTAACAATTTGATTGGATTACAATGAAATGGAATATAATTAGCCGCTGAGAAAAAAAAAAATTATGGCCAATCTTTAATTATCATAAAGTAGTAGGCCGTTTCTTTTGGCCAATACTAACTAAACATCACGTTTTCCCACAATTTTATAATTACACTACTATTGTAAATTGTAATAGTTTGGTGAGAAGGTCATAATTTGCTAGAAATAATGGCAGTATTGACCTTCGATTTGTATAATTTCGAATTTGTGACCTATTCTGATGCATCATATTTATTCATACTGGATAATGATAACCTCTTCCTTATCGATTATCCGATTTATTCTTTTTTTTTTCTTTTTTGTCATATTTCATGAAGGTCAGCAAGAAATTATTCGACTAATTCATTATTGCATTAATGAGGGGAAGGTGACTCCTCAAAATGACTTTTTTTTCCCCCTTTTTTAATTGTTAATTAATACACTTACTACGATCCATTTACTGAACTTCTTCAGTTTTTCGTTTTTACAAATTCTTTAAAATATTTAAAAAATTAATGATTGAAGTATTTTATTATTGTTCATTTCAATTTTTTTTCGGCATCTTTTTATGTCAAAATTAATAGAATGAACAATTTCGATAATTCCTTTTTAATTAGTTAATTAATTGTCATATTTGATAAACATCCTATTAACTAATCCACATGCAATTTTTGATGAATAATTTACTGTATTTGATATTAAATATGCTACCATTAATCTATGTTATATTTACTATCTTATTATGATTTTTTTGAATCGTAAGTTTAAAAAAATCTTTTAAAATTTTAAATTGATTTTCTTCATCTAAAACAATTAATCAAATAATAAATTATTTGCAAAAAGAAAAAATAAAAACAAAGATAAAGGAAAGAGTGCGCTTAACATAAAATCAAGAAAGTTTAAGAATTTCTAAAAAAAATAAAAAAACTTTTGCAATTTTTAACACAACAACTTGATATAGAATTATCTTCATTTGCATGAAAATAATTAAATATTTATCGATTTTATGAAATTCAAGCTTTCAAAAAAAAAAAACTTTCAAAAATAAAAATAATTTTTTTATTAAAAAAAATGAAGGCGAAACAAAAAAAAAAGAATAAAAAATTTTGTATTTCAGTATCAGTTCGTTATCACAAAAAAGCAGATATACCAGATGAACGATCATTTCTTATTCGAACTGTTACATCACCATGTATTCTTGGCTTATTATCATTGGTACTTAGTACTTTAGGTTCATTTTTCTCTTAAATCATCTAAATTTAGATCCTTTTAAATTATTTAATTTTCCTTCGCCTTTTTTTATTTCATATTCATCTTTATAGATAATTAATTGATTTTTGTTTTTCTTTCAATTAATCAAATTAATTTTTCTGTTCTTTTCTTGATTAAATTATTTTCGTTTTTTTTATTTTTATTTTTTAAAAATATATCTCAAATAATCGTTTTTTATTTGTATTTTCAGCTTATCATTGATACTTAGTACTTTAAGGTTCTGGTTAACACTAATCACACAATATGAATATATAATTTTTATAAATATTATGACATATAACATGAAAAATGTTATCAGTATATAGTTTTTATAGAAATTGTAGTTTTATCACATGACGTATAATATGAAAAATGTCACAAAAAATAAAAATCTTAATAAAACATTAAATGATAATTAATTAAATGATTGATAATTAAAAGTTAGTCGTTAATTAATAACTAATTACTAATATTTGAATGATTAGTTCTTTTATAAAATATTTGCAGTAGTATTTTGGTGTGCAATTGTATCAATTAATGCCGTATTTGCATCATTTTACATCGTATTTATTAGCGCTATATACTCATTTTGTAATATGGTAGATAATCAGTGCTTTGATTTCACCGTATTACTACCTGCTATTATCAATCGCATTAGCAATAAGGTAAGAGAGTATTTCATTTTTTTTATTTTTTATTTTAATTTTTAAAAATATGATAATGCTGAAATTTTTTAACCAATAAATGAGTAAATGCATAAATAAATCTTGTTATAAATCAAGATTGTTTATCGAATTCATTGCATATTAACTTGTAATATGTAATAAAATTTTGTATTCTTTATAATTTTTTATGCCAATTACAATTTTTCATATTATCTTGCATATTTTTTGATATATTCGACAAATCATTATGAATCATTAATGTGCAAAAAAAGTAGCTTATTTTATTATACTGACTTATTAATATTAGCATTAATTGGCAGGATTAGTTAACTAGTTCAATTATTAAATAAAGCACAGGCTAATTTATCTATTTATTTCTTTTTAAATTATATTGTGATATACCTTAGTATGTTTGAATTGATGCTTAAAAAAAAAGAAAAAAACAAAACAAACTCTTGTTAAATTGTAGAAAGTGGATTTGAAATTTTGCAAAGACAAAAAGAAAGCATTATGCGCGGCTGAAAATAATCAAATATGGCCATTTATTGGTGCTTTATTATTTTGTTTTCTTACTCTTGCAGGATTAGTCTATTTTCTAATGTGTATGAATGCTAATTACACAAGGTTTGTTTAGTAATTTTAAATGAAAAAAATTATTTTTCACTTTCTAAGTTAATTACATAACTAAATTTACGTTTGTTCTCATTTATTTTACATGATAAATAGGCAAATTTGATCAAAACAAATCAAAGGTCAAAATTTCGAAAATCTTAATTTGAATAAACAAATAATAAATTTCCTCTAAAAAAAAACAATTTTGAATTAATAATTTATTGGTGACTCTTACAGTTTCCTTCTTTTCACAGTCTATGAGATTTGTCAAAAAACAAAAAAAAAAGGAAAAAAAGAGATTAATAAACAAATGATCTCTTTCAGATCACATCAAAGAAGTCATTTTTGGTCAATTAAAAATAATTTCATCGCTTTAAATAATTAAATATGGCATTCCAAAAGTTAGTATACCATAAAATTAAAAGAAGTGGAAAAAATTTAGGATTCGTTCGGAAAGACGAGCACGTAAAGGTGAGCATTATGCGATGAATCAGGGTACGGTTGATTCGAACTCATTCATCCTTACAAATATGGGAAAATAGATGAAACAAATTTGTAATCAATCTATGATATTAAAAGGATTAATAAACAAATGTGATAATAGTAATAACAGCTTGTCAATTACGCAAATGTGATAATAACTTATCAACTAATGCTTTTTTTTCCGTTAAATGCTTCTCGTAGTAATACATTTAATATGACACAATGAGACAATAATATGTCAATACACAATAATATGGCATATCTCTATAGACCATCATGAGAAAATAATGCATTACTGCATGATTTGAATGATACTTATGACAAAATTATGATATTAAAAAATTATGACAAAGACCTCTGCTAATATGCAAAATGTTGAGTGACATTGGAAAAGTTAATCGAGATGTACGGATACATCACCTGTATGATCCAGAAAATACAAAAAGAGAACCAAAACCCGGAAGAAAAAATAGATACGAGTCCGCCAAAACATAATATCGACGTGTTGCTATAATATATTGCTAAGGTGAAAGATAATCTATAGGATATTACGATTACCGGTAGATCTTATATACCACCAAGAGACCTCGGAAAATGATACATTTAGTTAAGATTGAAATATGTAGATACGTGACATGACAGCAAATACAAAGGATGGGTAATCGTATCACAAAACAATTGCCCTATTTTAATACTTCGGCGCAACATATGAGCGCTTCACGTACCTTGTCTCATTGTCAACTTTCGTTTTTCGAGTTGCATCTTATCTAATGCATATTTCCATACGATTCCTGACCGTCAATCTCAACTACTACAATACAAGAACTTCTGGTGAAATAACTCCATCCTCTCGAATTAATTTTACTACGGGAAATCTCCCGGGAACGCAAAAAAGAAGCAAATGATAAGGACGAAATTGTGCTGCATTTTATGATCCGTTTCCAAGACGGAATTCTTATTTAAATTTTTTATGCCGGATGGAGTGTTGACTTAGTGTGAAGAGGTTTGGGAGTCGTAGTGTGTTGGTCGTACGTGTCCTTTGCTTTACACACGTCCACGTTCGCTATACTTGTGAGAAAGTGTTTAGATGTAATTCACATATGAAATTTTAGATAACGTTGCATAGTTAAATATGAATTCTGTAAATCGATAGCATAGGTAAATCCGTGAAACTCCGTTCTATATCTATTGGAAATTACTTATAATTGAAGGGAATTATATTATTTATAAGCTAATCCTGCAGCAACATTCCAATACTAACAATAAATTTACGAATTCTCCCGTCTCCCTTGGGATTTCTTGGGGAATAGTATGGATAACTTGCTGTTTCTTTTTTTTTTAATGTTGAGATGCATTTTGTTATAGACTTGATTATTCACAAGGCTGCTTGAAGACTTAATGTTTAATTTTGAGTGCATTGGTAATAAATTTTGCTTATTTCAAGAAGAACGAACTTTACGTTAATCTCCGATTAAATGGTAGCAATGGGATGACCATCGATCTGTTATTCCATTCTTTTTGCTATTATCATTTTTTTTTCAGTTAATAATCTAAGTTTAGCAGCTTTGTGATCAGTACTGAAAAAATATATTATTTCCTATTCCACAGAATTTTTGGATAAGCAATTTATGATTATTATACCACCAATCGTAGTTAAACAGTAGTAGTAACTGTAACTATATTCAGATTATTATTTTAATTATTATGATTGTTTTCAGCAGAACAATTGAGAACCGAAATCATCCTCATAATTACCAATATTTTCATGCCTACGATAAAATCGTACGAAATTTTTGATAGCCATTATCACTTTTCGTTATATTCTAACACAAAGCTTTTTCCATGTTTATCCCGATTTCATAATCATCGTCATTTCTCATAATTATAATTGAACAATGCGAATAGTTTCCTTATTCCTAATCACTATTTCACTGTCATTACCGCTATGTTATTGATCGTAATTAAATCACTAATATGATCCTTTATCGTCCTTATTACTACAGTTGGCTTCCGGTATTGCTCGATACATTAGCGTGCGAAGACCGGTTTTGAGCAACGTTCATATTTTGTGAGGTTATGCGTAAGGATTCCAACATATGGTAGAAACCATCGGTTTTGGTTTGGAGGACGGGAATTAGACGTTTATACGGAAGTCGTAAAGGAGTTGGTTACTACTGTGCATATATATATATATACACATATATATATATATATATATATATACATATATACATATATATATATATATTTCGCGTAGCATATATATTGGCTTATCATCGTTATGGATGATCAGTACAATCGAGAGATGCAGGAGGATGATTCGGTAGAATTGAAATGGGATTCCGATAGTAGCAAGAAAAGACGATATGCTGCAAAACGTGGTATGCACTTCTTTTTGCGGATTTTTTTTCTTCTCACTCTTCTAAACAATATCGGGAACTCACTGAAAATCATGTGCACTTACATGGTCTTGGATTGGGAATAGCAACTTTTGATCGAACTGAAAAATGATTTTGAGAAACGCTCAACAAACTGAGGAGATAGAGGTTGCTAATAGCGAAAATAAAGAGAGCCATTTTTGCTGCTCAAAGCTAAACTTGCTTAGTGCAATTGTTTGTCAGGTAGCATCCGTGGTTCTGGTTAAACAATCATGTCGGATTGGATATGGTTACCACACATAGGAGGAACAGTGAAAACTATCATATATATCAGATGGTGAATATTAGCATGAAGATTAGCATAACCTTTGTTGAAATTCTGTAAGAGAAAACTGATATTTTACATACAGCAAACATTTGGTTGTTTAGCATTTGACCCGAGTAATGGGATATATATATATATATATATATATGCATACTTTTTTCAGCGTTCTTTGTCCAATGATTCACATTGTTCTGCACCATCATCATCGCCGCATTCAAGCCCCATTGATGCATCAATGCCCACTGATTTCAATTCTGGTGAATTGAACGACGCAATTCGAACATACAGTCGTTGCAAGAAGTTGAACTTTTATTTAATTTCTGGACTTTTTTGCAAAAAATCTGCATGATCAAATTTGATATAAGAATAATATTGAGTAAGAGCTGTATGGGATTTGCTTAATAATGTGCAAATGCATGGAAGTCAATATGTTATAAATAAGCTATTGAAACCCCAGATAAGTGCGTATTATAAAAGCTCGTCTATGCAAAGCCAAACCAGTCGTAATTTTTATTATCCTTAATAGACTAAAGCAGATATGTTGAGCACTGAATAAAGTATTGGATTTCTTTAGAATGAAGGTAAGGTTAGAACGCCAGTAAGAACTACACATTTCCACAGTGAGATGTTGCCAGACATCTTTCTGAATGATTTGGTACTTTTTGTAGTGATACGCCACCAAGAAAGTCAGATGATGAAAATGGGGATTGGTGGATACAGCTTGATGAACTGCCAACACGAGATGAGGAAAACGATTCACCTTTACTGGTAATTTTGTATATTCGAACATTGAATTAGTATCTTTCACTGGAGCCTTAAAACTGTTTTTTTTTTCGCTTTTTTTCTTTGTTTGACATGAGATTCATTTATTGCATGTTTTACTCATTTTACGTCTTGTTTTTTGTTTTTTCGTTTTTTTTTTTTTTTTTTTTTTTTTTACGTTTCGGGAACTGGTAGGTTAGCATCATTTTTTGATTTGACATATTTTTCTGACTTTGAGACTTACGCGATGATGTTGAGTAATGAGGTGGGACAGTTCATTTTTTGTTTATTCTTTGGAGCTCATCCGGCCTGAACTTAGTTTAATTCGTTAATGCAAGATTATTAATACTTTTTACACCTGATTTTGGGCAGCGTTTATCTAAATGACAGGTTAGTTTTACAGGAGTTTTGCGAACATCACTGAAACATGAAAAAAAGCTAAAAGTTCTACTGGTGTCAAAACATAATTTCTGAGATTTCTGGACAGCACAAATATGCTGATATGTAGGCTAACCAAAAGTGTATCTTAATTCACGGGTTATAATTTTAACCACACGGAGTCTTAACGACAAATATCACTATGCTTCTTCAAAAGACATTGACGACCGTTTCCAGGACTATTAGAAAGAATAAATCACGCATCACATGAACGAGCGATCGGAGGTAGGAGGTCTCAGTAATTATAAAGAATAAGGAATATCAAAAGACTGTTAATAAAAACGAAAAAAAAATATTGCAGATTCGAACATCAGTGAGCCCAGTTTTCGCTGAATCGATGAGTTCCAAAAGTGAGCTAGAAGATGTAGTAGAAAGCGTAGAAAGCCCACAGACTAAATTTGATTTGGAAGATGACGGGCAAACACCATATCCATCGACACCATCGAAACGCCAAAATGTGGATTGTTTTCATGAAAATCTTGAATTCTCGAATATACCAGAAATACCACTGCCATCAGTTTCTCATAGTATGTTCACCATTTATTGGTTTATTAGGTCAAATTTTGGTGCGTTCTAACGAAGTGCATACATGAATGGAAATTTTGGATATGTGACTTCTAGAAAGATATGAATTAAAACATTTCGGATTATTTTAAGGACATCATATATAAAATGATTGCCCATATCACATTAAGTCAGTGAGAGTCAGTCCTGTAACTGCATTAGATTATGATAAATTTAATTGACAGTTACTTAGTCATGGTCGTAATGGAAAGTAGTTTTTAACGATCGACTTTGGGGAAATAGACTTATTTGAAATTATACTGTCTAAATAATATGCTGTGAATAAGCTCGATTCGTTTACCTCTTTTACATCTCATTTCTAGGTGATGGAAGTGCATGGAATATTCCGGAATGCTTATTTGTAGAGCAAAGATATTTTGCAACGTTCTTTCATTCTTGTTCTCCTGAGGTCTAATTGTAGTCTTTCCTTAAAGGTTTCAGATTATGAGCTCTCTCAGTTACCGTTTTTGGACTAAACCTTCTTGACATTCTTTAGTTGCTGACTTCATAGCTTTCCGAAAATCGTGTGTACATTATGGCTATTTTCCCTCTCTATTTGCTAATTCGTTTTTCTCCCCCTTCTTTTGAATATTAAGCATTACAAATCTCAGGATTTAGTGGTGTTCTTGTTTAAATTAAATCTGTAATCCTCGCAATTTAATTTTATCTTGGCGATTTGTTAATTTACGATGAAGAAATCTTCCGTATATTTTCACTTTACAGTTCATTATGCAACAAGTCAATAATCAACGGTTAAATAAAATTGTTGATTGACTATTAAGAGCACAAACCTGTTACCTCATGTACTGCTACGTTTGGCTGCGGTATCTGAATAACTTAGGGAAAGGATATCCAATAATGAATATTAAATCATTAAAAACAAGATAAATGACATGAGATTTATCGCAAGATTTCAGACAGTCCAGCTGGTAGAGCAATGTCAAGCTCGGCTCCGGCATCCACCGTCGAGTCGTCATCTTCAAATATTTGTGATCCTTTGCAACGGCCAAATACGTTTGACGTTAAGATATCACCATCAGCACATGTTCAGTTAAATGCTGTTGCAAATGAAAGGCCAAAAGAATGGGAGGATTTCACTGAATTACCATCTGGAATGTTGACTCGTTTATTTGATCAGCTACATCGTACAAGGTTGTTTTCCTCTATAAAATGATTGGGATTTTAATTCTCATATGAAGTTTCTCGAAAATAAAAGGCGAGGTAAGATGAGGGACAAAGAGATTAAAATGGAAGGAAACATAGCTGCTGAATACGAAACGTTGGAAAGAAAAACATATTCCAGAAGGCATACGCAATATGATGAACTGTGAAATAAAGCTGGCATACCTTAATGAACTGAATAGTTGAATTTTATTAATTTTTTGAAATTAGAAATCCTGCCACTTGAATCATACACTGTTTACGTCTTTCATCATATTGTTATGTTTGAAGTTGCTTAATTCTGGTTTGCTTTTGCAGGTGGGTGGTCCCCGTGTTACCCAATCAGGAGCTGGAAGGACTTATGGAAGTTGCAATTGTATTAATAAAACGAGGTATTTGTTTTGGCATTAGATATTAATACTAAATAATGAGGTTTTCTTCGCAGTATATTTTTAAAATGGTGCAGTGAAAAAGAGGAAGATAAGATATAGGAATATTTGAACTAAGTACCAGCTGTATTTGACTGCTTGGTTAACTGTAGAGTACTGGGATCTATAATTCTTGCAAACGCAATTGTTATTCTAGTTATATCGAAAACATCATGTTGAAAATCTAACTGATATTGAGTTAGCTCAATAGGATTCTCTGCTGGGAATAGCAATATTTAACATTTAACAGCATTGCAGGAATTGATAAAACGTCGAAATTTTTCGAAGGTTTCCTCGAAAAAGGATTGCTAGTTGCTTTTGATAAGTTGATGAATGACGAGGCGATGAAAGACTGGAAGATCGAAATCCATGTAATTTCTCATAATGATATGGTTTTTTAATTAGGTTTCAGTTCTGCATTTTCTCGAGTTTTAACGAGTTTTAACTTTATATTCAATATTTGAAAGTATGCTAAAATTAAGTTGTGAAGAAGTTCTTATGGAGAGTCACCATAATTGACTTTGGGGAAAGAGATGGAATTGCAGGGATGCCTTACAATCAGAAAAAATGTAAGCAGAAGAAATACTTTATACGATAGAAATAAGTTCCCATTACCCTTAGGGAATTCCAAATGCATCTTGGGAATATTTTTCGTATTAAAACAGTAATGTATTTTTAAAAGTCAAAATGTTAGGTTGAAGGGCAATAGTTTCAGTTAGAATGATCTTACGGTGATTTATCAATTAAGCGGTTCTTTCTTATTCAGTATTTAAGAGTGTTGAATTTACCTTATCTTTTTAGAATTCTCATGATCATGACCCTTTTATTTCCAAATTTATCAATGGAAGATTTGAAAACGAGTACTGATATATCTTTAGCGCTTTCGTGTTTTTGCACAATTTCCGCAACTTTTTATGTGCTTATTCTTTAAATGGTTTAATGCACGAAATGAACACGGAAGCATGAATTTTTTTTATATAGAAAAAATTTGAAATTTGGATTACAGCGATTCATTTGGCTAAGTGTTGCACGATTCCTCGTAATGTTCACGGAGAAAATGCGGCAAACACTTGTAGCAGAAGATTTTCATCATGCGTACTGGAAAATACTGCAATACACCATGTCCAGCAATAGTCGGTATGCTTTAAAGCTGCCGAGTTTTTTGTTCAGTTCTTTGAAGTATGTTCTTTGTATGCTTTTTTTTTCCGTATTGCTTTTTATCTGTTGACATATTATAAGGAGGATTTTTTTCATCTTTGGTTTCTGTCCATCACTCTTGAATTTTGTCTTCTTTTACATATCAAAGTAGAAGTCCTAATATCCTGTTTTTTATCAGACATGCTTTAAAAAAGACTTAAACTTTTTTTCAAACTTAATGTTCCAAAAAAATAGGTTTCAATTTCAAATTTTGGTAGGCGTAAAAAATTGTGCGTAAAACAAGGTTGGAAAAAGGGTTCTCGTGGACGTTGATAATTTTGGTGAGCTCTAGGAATTTGAAGAGATTGGATGATTTGGAATTTTCAGCAGAAGAATTAGATTACTGATATTAACTTTGCTTTTTTTTCTACAATGCTCTTTTCTGTTTT